GTTCTCGTTTGCTGTAAATTGTCCTTCTGCAGGAAGTTTCCTGCCGACCGGCAGAATTTAGTGCCAACCGGCACTATCTGGAGTGCCGATGAATCCAATAAAATGCGATGGGAATTGTGAAGTGCCATGGTAATTCTGTCCGGCAGGTGGTGCTCTGCAGGACGGCAAGGAACTTGCTCCAGTACTTAGGCAATTTTCAGAAAGACAAGGCAGTACAAACAGAGGCGGCAGGAGTACAGTACGGGTTTTCCGGACGAGACGGATTCAGAGCACGCATCATTCGCTCATCCCGAGGCAGAGGCTGTGGCCACCCGCTTTTTCTTCTTCGCCACCCTTTCCTTTAAATTAAATTTAGAAATTTTGTAATAATTTTATTTGTTTATTATTTGGGACTGTAATATTCATTCGGACCCTCTGAGGTGAGGGTAAACATGTAATAAGTGTGGGTGAGTGTGTGTATGTCTTCCAACCCCACTTCTTTCTTCCCTTTTATTACCTGCTTATGATGGTAGATTAGGGCACGTTTAATTTAGCATACCTTATGCTATGCATGTGTGCATCCATTTGTATTGCATGCATTAGGCTCGGTTACATCACGCTAAACTGCATTTGTACTTCAATTCAAGAAAAGTTGAATATGTGATAGTTGATCGCATTTCATATGCCTGCTTAGATTAGGCGAGCTATCTAATTGCATCCTGTATGTGTTGCATTAGGCAATTTAATATGAATTAGGACACGCATGTTTTGCTAACGTAGTTTACTGTTTTTGGCACGGAGTACGATGTAAGTATTTATGCTTTAGCATGCTCGCATGTGTGTGAATGAATAACATGACAGTATGCTTGCCATGCGGTTAAATGCTTATGTGTTAAACTGTTGAATGCCTGTGGTGAAGGTTGGATTGTTTGAGTTGGAAAAAACTCATTGAAATCCGTGTTTTAGGCCTACTTGCGAAGTGCAATTTTCAAGCATTTTCACAAACAAACGGATATGCAAATGTTTTCTTTCCAAATTAGCATTAGTCTATTACTTGTTTGCTGCGCGCATAACATGTAATTCTAGGCTAATAATTGTTTAAGACACGTAAAGTTTTCCAAAAAAGGATATACGGTTAAGTAGAGCCGGTCTTCGACGCGGGCGATAGGGGTGCTCATAGCTGACCTTCCCGATCGTACCAGCTCCCAGCCGAGACACTCCGGTGATACGGACATGTGGCCTCGGACCGAGGCAGGTTCCTAAATGTCTCCATTTTAAAATATTTGAGGTGGCGAACTCCTGTATCTGGCAAAGCAGTCCATGTTTGGTACTACTTTTTCAAAAATCAATTTCTCAAAACGACATTTGCCAAATTTGGACTCTGTTCAGCATTTAAGAACCGTGACACAAAATCAGAGAGTCCGAACTGTAGCGGAGGTCCCCCCCCCCCGGGTTTTGGTGCGTTCTGGGGCCCCCTTGTTATAGTTTCTGCACTCTGCTGGGGAGTTTTTTAGAGCGCTTGACTCGAACTTCTGATATCCTGTTTTGAATCTCATTTTATGTGTTCTTTGTGCATTGGCATGTGTCATTGGTGCGCCTAGGAACACAGTGGTTTGCCATCTGCCATTCCTGAACGGTTCGCCGGAGCTTGGTCTTGTCAGGCATGTCCATAAGGGCTGACGGCGCTAATGGGCTCTGACAGCATGGGAACACAAACCCCGGTTTACCGGGGCAACCCTTATTTGACCATTCGCCTAGTGCCATATTCCGGATCCTTAGTGACCATTCAAATAAGGCCAGGCTGCGTTACCCGATATTAGGTTTTTGAGAAACCGCTGTGTGCGTAGTGAAACCCTAAGCTCTGACAAAAATAAGGACAGGGGAAACCCTACCCCAATGTAGGGGTGTTTTTGGCTTCTTGCTTGGCTATGTGCTTTTAAGAATGTATTTCTGCAGGGGAAATGAACACACCAGCATTGTAAGTCTGGGCATCAGGCCTGAGGCATGCAGTAATCAGTTTTTAAGAGAATCAGTTATCTGCGGTGATCAAGGTTCAGTATTGGGATAGAGATTTTGAGAACAGTGATCAGTATCGAGGAACAGTGTGTTCGCTCACCGACGTTTGTGATTGAATATTCCAACTGTGTAATTATATGTTTATTTTATGCTGTTGTGCTGTCGGTTTTTGGTTTATTTAATTGGTTCTTTATTTATCTTTTTGCTAGGTAGTTTTAGCATCATTGCGTCCAACCCAGGTAGAGCATCCCCAGCATCTGGATCAAGAGGTCGCCGGCTCATCGATCTGTAGATCTGATAGAAGGACAACCATGTACTCATCTCTACCCGGTTACTAATGGAAAGCACTAGCAGAGGACAACCGGGTTTCCCAAACAAATTAAAAGTAGCAGAGGGGCCTTTTCCCGTTTTCTACCTCCACGCTGTGTACAAGTGGATCAAGGATCCCCATTTCACCCCACAGAGATGGAGGGAACGCATAGCCAGCAATTCAACCAAGCAGAACAGTATGGCTAGCTTAAGAGGAGATGGTGCGACACTTCAGGAAGCATGAAAATGATGCAGCAAGATGTGTCGCGCAAGGCAGAATTCGCCAGGCAAACAGCTACAGTCATGAGTGAGCAAGGCGGATTTAATTGGGAGATTGCAACAGGCAACTGGGGCATCACCTTCACAGCAAAATCCCTCCTCGCATTAAGGGTTCCAATACCCGACAGAGACACGCGAATGCCGGAAATGTCCAAGAAGATACAGACATCCCAACGGGGCCGGGCCTACCCGCACGAATTCGGCCTAAACAATCCAAGGCACCACCCCCATCATGCTATCTGATTCTCCCTTCGAGTCCGATGGTGGACGTGTGACTATTGAAATGCACAAGCTTGAAAAGTTATTCAAGAAATCCAAGGTACGAAGTCCATTCCGACATTGAGATGGATACATCGACCAGCTGTAGACGCTTGCAGGATCGGTTTAAGATGCCACCAAATTTGAATCGTTTGATCGGATCTGGGATCCCGATGGATACACTGGCGATCTATTTGTCAGACGTCTTAAGGCCAATGGCCCTCACTAGATTGCAGAAGCTATCTTTATGTCGGGGACCTTGTCGGTGGGCGCCGCATGGTAAGCGCAAGTTAGAGATGACGTCAAGAGAAATTGGGCGAGAGTTGCCGAGGCCTTCATCCTGCAAGTACTCGTATAACAACAATCGAGATATGACCGGGATTCTCGAGACAACGAGGCAAAGAACCCAAAAAGGGAAAGCTTCTCATGAAATTGTAACTAAGATGGGCGGGCTAAGCTTCAATGATGGACGCTTGAGACCACAGACCAAAGACCAGATCGGATGAATTGTGCGCAATCTTCAACCGAAGGGCTAATGGCAAAAGATGATTGTAGTCCCTTCCCACTCTTGCTGATCTGCATGAATGGGGGTCAGATCGAGGATGCCTGAGAACAAGGTTAGATTGATAATGCGCGGGAGCAAGCCCCGCAGAAATTTCACATCGTAGTGCTAATGCGGCCCGAGCGGCGCTTAACGACTGCCAGGACGCTCCGAAGTGAGTATGGTCAGCCACTTAACCCTTCCCCAAGAAACACGGCAGCCACACC